ATGCAATCGGAGCTTACAGAATTGGAAGAAAAATTATCTTTGGGCAATCAATTGCTAGCATATGATATCGATCTAAAAAGTGCCGATAGTCCGGAAGATATTGGAGAAAAGGCGAAAAATATTGAGAATTTAGAGCAGTTCATGGTTTCACTAATTGATAAGTTGAAAGCTTGTGATAGCAGTAATATGACCGAGGAACAACGAATTGATATGGAAAGAAAATTAGATGAAGCGATGTCGCTTATTAATAAGCTACATGCTTTACGGGAATCTATTTCAAGTCATTTAAAATCACTTGCTGATTGGAAAACTGCTGAAGGCGAATTAGAAGATGAAATACGGGTAATTATGGACAATATTGAAGGACTACGTGATAGCTATTCGCAACCGCAACCGTACCCAACAGCAATCAATGATGTAAACATATTGCAACGATTACAGGATCAGATCATGAAATTATTGCAAAAAACGATAGATAAAGAACAAACTTTATCACAAAATTTGCCTAACTATCATCCTGCAATCAATGCAATCAAGCAACAAATTGAAAAAGCTACTGAAGATGTTAAGGTATTTTATATATTTTCATATAATTTCTTTTTTTTTTCTTTCTAAATTGCTTGATTTAAAAGAAAAAAAAATTACATTTTTGATTGTTATTTATTTCTTTTTTTTTTGTAAATTTATAATTAATGTGAAACATTTCAGAAATTATTGCCATCACTTATTGAAGATGTTTCAACAGAAAAGCAACTTGTTGACATACAAAACGATTTAATCAATCAATTGAATGGATTGAATGATCGCGCCATAGTGATTCGTAATGAACCACATGATGAAACACAAATTCCACGATTAGAAGAATTGAAAAATGAGCTTGAAGAAGTAGGTGATATGCTGAAAGAATTGAAGGAAAAGGAAAACAAACCAATGAAACTGGTGCTACATTCAGATGATCTAAAGATAACATCTGTAGTTGATCAATATGAAAAAGTTAATCGACTTCTGAATGAAACCAAAGAGCAATTGGCGAATCAAGTTGCTTCAACGGAATTGCAATCGACAGTTAGTAATGAAGCTCAAGAGCTGCATTATATTGTCGATGAAGCATATAAAGTTGAAAATGATGTCAACGCAACAGCAAGCGATTTGCGGAAGGCAATTGATGATCTCAAAAATGGTCGATCACATTTGACAGCATTAAAAAATGCATACGATCAACTAGAAAACGTACCGGATATGAATTTATTCTATGAAAATGTATTTGATGAGATTTCGACACTAAATGAACAATATGACAATGTTGAAAGGAATTTGGAAGATCGACTTGATATGCTGAATGAATTTGATGTAATAGCGGATAGTGTAAATAAGCGATTGATGGATCTTGAAGATAATGTACATAAATTAGAAGTTCCAAGTGCCAGCTGTGAATTATCCGTTGCCGATAAAGGACTTAGTGATGTTAATGAATTACAAGAATCATTGAAAAAATTACACGAATTGAAGGAACAATTAACACCATTATTGAAACCTGCTTCTACAGTTGAAAATTTCGATAATCGTTTAGCAGATGTGAGCAAAAATTTCCAACAATGGCACGACGAGAGTGTGAAAAAGAAGCAAGAATTGGAGGCTGAAAATAATCTGTTAAGTTTGATCAACGATTTTGAGCAAACTCTTGTTAATGCGGAAAATGATTTCGAAAAACTTGAAGGAACAATGAATGCATTGAAGAGTTTCAAAGATATGATTTTGCCAATAGTAGTTGAAAAATCTGATCGTATCAGAGATCTAATATTACCGGTAAAAACGGAAAACATTAAGCAGCTTTATCATAATGTCGATATGCTAAATGATCGATTTAATGATTTGTCAACACGTGTGAATGATAAATTGAATGATGCAGAAAGACAAGAGAATCTATTTGATGACATTCAACGAGAGCTTAATAATATGGAACAAAAAACTGATGATTTTATCAAGAAATATACCACATCACAAGATTTATTAATTGCCATGGAAGATGTCGATCAGCTGTATTCTCTTCAGGATCAAATTCCATCATTATCAGCAATGGAAAATATTACAGAAGATGGACTTAAAGATAATTTAATAAAGAAAGCAGATACTATGAAGAACAAAATCGAAAATTTGCTTGTTCCGCTTAAAAAAGATATACAAAAAGAGCAAGAGTTGATGCGCGATTTGCATGAAACATTGTCTACATTAACTGCAATTGGTGATGATGTTATTGCAGTTGATCCCAATACTGAATCATTACAACAGCTAGAAAGCATTCATCAATTAGCGGAAAATTTGCGACAATTAAAAGGAAAAATTGAAAAGTTGGAAGAAAAGTTACAAAGTTCGGAAGGGATGGTTAAACATGCATTAGTAACTGATGATCTATTTGGTCGTGTTGTACAGTTACAAGATGCACTTGATGATAAGAAAGAAAAATTGACAGAACGTGCTAAATTATGTGCTATAACTCCGGAGATAAATTTGATCAACGAAAGTGTGCAAAATTACATTAATGAAATGGAACAAATACCAATGCAAACAATTGAGGAGCAAAATGTTGCATTAAGTGAGCTAGAGGGAAAGAAATATGAACTTGAAAATCTGCTCAAAAATATTCCTCAAGGTGATGAAGGCAGTGAATTACGAGAAAAGTGTAATTGGTTACTGGGACAACTCAATGATGTTCTAAAACGATTAGCTGATGCAGTTGGAGAGAAGTTTACAGCATTAGGGGCATTCAATGTAATCAAAGATGAAGTTGAAGCACAAATCTCGTCGTTGCAATCTGTACCAGCATCGATTTCTGGTGAATATACTGTATTCGAACTTGATAATCAGCTACATGATATAAATGTAAGTTTTGTTGTAGTAGGACTTTTAAGTTTCAGAATTGGTCGATTTGAAAGTGTCCAATCAGAACGGATTTATGCGATGTATTTTTTTGAATGTTAATTTTTTGAATGAGGTTCCGTCCTGGGCTTAGTATACTAGTTGTTTTTTTTGCGTACGCAGTTGTGTGTTGCTGCTAAATTTATTTTAATATAAGACTGTAGTTCGCATTTTGTTTGTGTTATATAGCATGCGGTTAGTTCCAGTTGCTTTTTCATTTCGAGTTGAGCAATTAAAGAGTTATAGTTGATGTGGTTAATTAGTGGTTTATTAATTTCTTACAGGTCGAGACGGAAAAGCTGCAGAAGTTAAGGGAAAAAATTTTACATGCAAATGTTTCTGAACTTGATAGAGAGCAGTATGATGAAAGAAGTGTTCTTTTGTCAAAAATTGATGAGTCTTTGCAACATGCACAGGTTTCTTTGATTTCTCTTAACAAATTGAAAGGATTTGTCTTCATGTCATATCTGCTATCTTTTTCAACAATGATTTTTAAGACTTGCTTTTTTTTTGCTTTAGAGAATAGTTTTTGTGGAGGCAAACGTGTTTTGCAGCATAGGTTATGAGAATTCTTCTTTGAAAAGGATGTGAGATATCTCACAATGTCTCATGTGTACTTTTCAAAATTATGAAATATTAAGATCAATGTTTTTATTTAGGCAGTGTTTCTGTTAGCTTTATTGTTTCTGATGTGTCTGTAATTACTTTAAAAAATAGATATATCTGTGTACTCTGCTTGCAGCAGATAAGACAGATGAGATTTTTCGCCAAATTGCTATCATTACCATTCTCGCTATTTCAGAAGAATCATGAATATTTTAACAAGAAGCGTATTCAGTTGCTCGCTCATGAAAAGATATGTGCCGACTCTAAGGCATTGTACGATGAGTTAGAAAAATTGGTAAAGGATGGTGAAAAGTTGTTGAGCGATTCAGAGGCTCTCCCAATATCCTATGGTTCCACCGCGGATGCACTGAGCACTCTTACTGAAAAGGCAATCAATTTACGCATCAATGAACCGGAAATCGAACAATCACAGAAGCTAATTTTTAAACAGTTATGGGAACTGGTTGACAACGCTAAAGATGTGCAAACACAATTGATTCAACGTGCATATATGTGGGAACAATTTGTAAAGGAACGTGACTCAGCATTAGAAGAACTGAACGATATACGCGGGCAAATACATGAAATTGATGGACGAGGAATGAGAAGATTCGATAAAATGCTTGATGATTTGGAAGCTCTGAAGGTTTTTTTCATATGATCAATTTGACTTAATTATTAGGAAGGTGATATGCTATTTGAAAGATCAAGTATTCGACTTCATCTGCCCAATCAATTTGCAG